TTCTATAAAAATATACTGTGCTTTAAAAATATGGATGATAGTATCAGCCGCTCTTTCAGCCACTTCAAAAGCAACAGTTTGTTTAGAAATAAATTATGCAGTTAATGTCATAAAATTCAAATAAATATCAAACGAAAATTCTCAGTTTTAGACAATTCGATTTAAACGAAGTAAAGTAGCAGACGATAAAACGCCGAAGGTAAAAATTTACTCTTATTTTTTTTAAAAAAAAGGATAGAGAGAAATTTAAAAAAATAGTTAAAATTTGAATAATATCATCTATAATTTTAAAAAAATAGCTTTTCATATAGTATTAATAAATATTTATTACGCATCATTGAGGGGAAAAAATGTCATATAATTAATTCTCCGTAAAATCTTACTTGAAATTTAAGGTTAAAAATAGCTGTGGCAATTCACTGTAACAAAAATCCATAGACCACATTTGGCATTATTATTGCTCAAAAAAAAAAAAAGATGCCAAATTTCAAAACTCGAAAATATGTAAATTCGTGTATATCTTGGAAAATTTTGAATTTACCAAGGAATGAATGGAAAATTTTGAATTTTCCAAGGAATGAATGGAAAATTTTTTGCAGATATGCTTAAAAATACACCTACTTTAAGATGATGGTAAAAATTTTATAGGTTATAATTCAAAATTTTTTTTGAAAAATTTATAAAAAATATTTAAAAATAGAAATTTAAAAATAAAACACAAAAAAATGGGATAAATTTTATTTGGAATGAACCTAAATTTCGAAATGTGAGAGAAAAAAATCAAAAAAGTTTAATAAAAAAGAGATATTAATAATATTTGCCAAATTCAATTAACATTGAGGAGCTAATATTTTAAAAACTACTCGTACGATTTTTACAAAACTTGGTATTCTGGCATAATTTGAGTCGTAGAATCGAAATATGGAAAAAAATTGGTATGTTATTTCAGAAAAAGTCCGATTTTGTGTAAAAATACCTATGTTAGAATAGTGCTATATATAAATCTAATATATATCCTAAGTCGCGCTTTCGAGACATGAAAAACGCAATTTGAATTTTGTCAATCGGCCCAGTAGAACGGGAGATATAGCACTGTCCCTTTTTTTTTTTTTTTTTTTTTTTTTTGAGCAGTGTACAATTTCGTAATCGAATTCTTCAATAAACGTTGCCCATCTCGCAATTTTAGGAGTTAGATCTTTCTTATCTAAAGTTTTCTGAAAAGCACTACAATCAGTTACAATTTTGAATTTAGTTCCTAACAAATAGTTTCGAAATTTCTTCAGAGCTTCTATTACTGCAAGGGCTTCTAATTCGTAACTACAGATTTCCTCTTGCTGCGGCGAAGTCTTCTTACTCATATACTGGATTGGGTGATAATTACCATCATCAGAGAATTGGAGTAATATCGCACCAAAGCCTTGACTACTAGCATCAGTATGAAGTTCTAATGGATATCGTTGCCTAAATATGTGTAGAACAGGTGCTTGAGAAAGAATTTCTTTTAATCTGCAAAAAGCTTCCTGTTGTTCGGAATCGAACTTAAAACCAATACCTTTTCTAAGTAAGTCACTAACAGGTTTAGCTATTTTAGCATACTGAGGAATGAATTTACGGAAATATTCCGTTAGTCCTGAAAAGCTTTGAAGTTGTTTACAGTTACGCGGTTTTGGAAAGTTTCGAACAGCAACAGTTTTGGAAGGTGATGGTTGAATAGTTCCGTTTTCGATTACATGTCCCAAAATTCAATTTTACGTTTTAAGAATTGGCACGATTTGAAATTTATATGTAATCCATACTCCGAAGCAGTTTTGAGTACTCTTTCTAATTTATCTAAACATTCAACTTCATCATTAGCCGGTGTGACTATATTATCCATATAAATAATTAGTACACCTTCATTTAACAAGTCACGAAATATACCTTTGAAAAACATTTGGACTAATACATAAACCAAAAGAAGCTTTAAGAAATTCGTAGATACCATTATGTGTACAAATGTGGTATATTTGGTGCAATTTTCGTCTATGTCTACATGAAAAAAGCCATTTTTCAAATCTAGTGTCATGAAGACTTTTGACTGTTCTAAGCGATCAAGTACTTCCGGAATTAAAGGCAGTGGAAATTTGTCTTTAATAATCTTCTTATTTAATTTCCGATAGTCTACACATAAACGTTTCGAATTATCATGCTTGTTACACAAGACAATAGGGGCCGCATAGTTAGAGCTGCTAGGTTTTATTATTTTTTCTTTCAGCCATTCTTTAATTTGATCGTCAACAATTTTTTGCTCCGCGAAAGACATGTATCTTCTATTTTGACAGACAGGAATTTCATCGCATAAATTTATTTGCATCTTGAAGTCAGATTGTCTATTTTTCTGAGGCTGGTACGAATTAATTAAATTACACAGTCTTTCTTTATGTTCTGCATTTGAAATGTGCGATAAATCAATCTCGTTGACAGAAATAGCATTCACCAGATGTGAAAGGTAATTAAACGTCGAGCTACTTCTGCTTTCGGGACTTTTGTTTACATTAACAGAGACGTCAGACGATTGAGAAAGATCATAAACATTCTTCAATGAAACAGCAATATTCAAATTTCCCATAACGCAACGAACGTTAGAATTTCAATATGACTCGGCAGTTATCAAGTTTACATTACTTTTATTCCGATGAGAAATTATTTGAAGGCCATTCTCGGTAAAAGAGAAGTTAAACCGATTCAATACATCCAAACCTAATACAGTTTGATTACATAACGACTTAACAACATAAATTTTCATATGAAGTGAAAAACTATCAATTGAAATATCAGAAATGAAAACGCCGATGGAGTACGTTTGCTTTGATTCAATTCCGTTTAACGTGATATCGCTACATTTTAAATTAGGAGAACCAATGTGCTTGTGTAACTCTACGCTGCATATCGTTACATCTGAACCGCTGTCAACTAAACTATCAACTAAATGATTATTTATTTCTACAGTCTTCATAATTCTATCCTTGTCAAAAATTTGTTGAATTAAAGCTGCTTGTTTCTCGGGGGTCTGCTCTGGACAGTTCACTGAATAATGCCCAAACTTCTTACATTTTATACCCTTCGATTTGTTTACACAATGCTTTGAATAATGCCCAAATTCCTGGCAATTAAAACATTTGACCTTATTAACGTTAGATTGATTTCGGTTTGATGACGCAAGCTTACTTCTATCTTTAACTTGAGTGTCTACTTTCGGTTTTGGATTTTTAAACTTATCATTGTCCGATCTCATTTTATCATAAATTTTAAGTCTTTGTTTAAATTCAGTTATTGTTTCGCAACCATATAGTATAGCTCCTCACTACAGAATCGGGAATACCATCAATAACATATTTAATTAATGAAGCATCTTCAATGTTACCTCGCGAACACATTTCTTTCATTTTCAAAAAATACTCATCTAAAGATTCATTAGGCATTAATTTACGCTTACATAACATTTCATGCAACTCGGCAGAATTAAAAGCTTTACCATATTCAGATTTCAAAAGCTTTTTTAACTTACACCAGTCATTAACTTAGGTTCACTCTGAATAAATAGTTTTGCTTACCTTTAATGATCTTTTAGCAAAACTAATTTATGCAAATCACTCAATTTTAAAGAATTTATAACATCTTCAAATTCATAATCCATTTATCAACATTTTCATATGCATTACCAGAAAAAGGATTAACAATACTTTCAATATCAGAAAAACTAAGATGAGGTTTAAAATGATCTTGAATTGGAAGTTGCATACTGTTATTTACTTGAGACTTGTTAAAACCAGGATTGTCTCTTCGATTATCATCAAGCATTACTTCAGAAATTTTATTAATAGTTTCATCTTCAATATCACTATTTTCTTCATGCAAAATATTTTCAAATAATACAGATAAATCACATAGGAAAGAGACAATTCGGGTTACTACTTCTGTTTTTAAACCTTCTGAATTTATGCACAATACATTGCAAACTTTAATTAACTCATTCAAAGTAAAACTATTCTGCACTGCATCTATTTTCTTATTAAATTCTTCAGAATCTGGTTTAAATATAAAGCCAGAAAATTCACGTAATCTTTTCCGGTTATTTCGATCTCCGTCAGTATTAAAAATAAGCTTATGCAAACTTTTGATTTCAGAACTTGTACTATTCTTTAAAGCTGCTTCCAATTCTGGAATTTCTACTAACTTCATATTGGAAAGAAAGTTTTGTACTCACCCGACAGATGATCGTCATCAATAAGAGTAATCCATTTTTTATACGAGTAATCCAATAAATCGAATAACTTGTAAGAATAGTCCACTCAGTTAGTTCAAAGCACAGTTCTACTACTCGCACACTTTCGTTCGAGGCTGGTAGATTGGTCGCCAAATGTTTTTGTAGAATTCTCCTTAAACTCAGAGCATGAGAGCACAGATATTTTTAAATTGGTTTATTTAATAGAAAGAAATAAAAATAAGAAAAAGTAAATTTAAGTAAAGATGAAGTTAACGGTATGCAGGATTAACATAATGATGCACAGACAGTCCTTTACACAAAGTTCCTCCGGCGTTGATAGGATATAGTAATTCCAGCTAGTTTTAAATAGTATGATCATCTAAAGTCATCACAGCTGAAGGTGAGAATTAAAATGAAGAATCAGCTCCATAAACTCTTGAAGACGAGTGAGCCGTCTGCTCACGTTCTCCTTCCGTTCTCGACTACGTCTGTCGACTGTCTCTTGCTGTCTGGGATGATTCTTACTGCGCTGGGCGATGCTGATGACATCATCTGGTACTCTAATTCAGCATCGGAAGGTGATTGATTCCCACATAAATTCTTTAGAGTATTATTTTTTAACTGTTATTTTGCCTATTATGCTTTCTGTGAGTGGATTTTAAAATGCGTAAATTTCGTACTTATTCAGAAAATTGATACTGTTAATTCCTGTAATTGTTTCATGAAAATTAAAATTGTTTCTATTATATTATAGGTACACTCCATTTGCCACTGGGCCAAAAGATGATATTGGTAGGATTTTAAAGAAAATAGAAGCTGGAGATTTTAATATGAATTCTGGGAATTGGATTAATATATCCAGTATTGCAAAAGTAAGCATTAATATAACTTTTTTCCCCCTCCAGGTTTAACAATGATCATATGAATAACTCAAATAGAGAAAAGATGCAATGCTGTTTATTTTCAAAATTATAATTCAAAGCATCTGTTTACGTGAATACAGATGCTTGTGCTGTTTGCAGATAGATTGTTGACAAAATTTCTAAAAGCAGGAATAAAATGTTTATTTGTATTTAATAACCTTCCAAAAGATACATTCTGTGAGCAAAAAAGTGCTCAAATGAAAATAAGCTAGTGCAAATCCTAAAGTAATAGCTGTTGGTGTAAAATTTTTTTTTCACTCTATAATTTAAATAATGAATTTTGAATATAGCTGCTGTTCTTTTGTATCATAATCCAAAACTTTTCATATCTTATTTAAATTAAAATATTCAGTGGATTATTTAGGGTTGATTGAATTTTTCATGTAGAATCATCAAACTGTGCATCAGTACATATGAAAATTCGCCAAATAGTTGCTGAGTTCTGTCATAAATATCATTAAATCCCTAACCAAGAGATCTGATTCAAATGCCAACATAAACAACACTATTGACCATGAAGTATGCAGAATTTGAAACACCAATACTTTTGACATTTAAAAAATACATATATGATTTTAGTTTTCTTAAGCCATGTCTATTAAACTTCTGTTGACCAGAAGCATTATCAGTAATAAAAACAGTTGATTAACCATGTATATTTTGTGTGTTACATGTATTATGTTTGTATTTATATACATGAAACCATTTTGAAAAAAAAATTAAAAATTGCAATATTCATGAAGGGAAAATTAATCTATATTAGTATATTGTATAAATAAATTTTGTAAATTTGTCCTTTGTGTGCAACATGAATAGTATGCATACTAATTATGTATCAACCAAAAATAATTATTATGCTTATTACTAATATTAAAAATTTTAAATAAAAGAATAACATGAAATCTTATAGTTGTAGAGGGTTGATTATGGTCCAGATATAGCAGAGATTCAAGATTTTTTACACTTTCAATTCCAGTTTTTCTGTATTTATGAAATTCAGACTCATTATTTCTCTTAACTCTAATTTTAGAGAAAATATAACACTCAGATATTATAATAAATTTTATTTTTAGACCATAAACTGTATAAAGACTCTGCTTATAGACTGTATAAAGCTCATTAAGGCTGCTTGGTGCACCAACTTCAGTTTTGCCCAGTGCACAATTTTTGGTGAACTTACAGTTTTGTGCACCAAAGATTTTGTTGCCGAATTGTTTGCAATTAAAAATAGAGTTTGTATGCATAGCTGGCCTTTTTTTTATAAAGGAGCATGGGTTCAAGAAACCATTTAGAGCCCTAAATTTTTTGTAAAGTAAAATAAAAATTACAAACATGAACATATATTACTAATGCATGTTTATTTTATGCGTGATTTTGTTTTTGCTAATATATTAATTATTTCAAAAAAATTAAATTTTTTTGCAATTTCTTTTTTAATGCTTAATACAGCAAATGCATTTAAGCGTTCTGCGCACATGCTTGAACAAACTTTATTCTTTATTAATTTTAATTTGCTGAAAAAGTGCTCAGCATTTTCTACAGTAACTGGCAATGTAAAAAAAATTAACACAGTTAATACATTTAGGAATAAGTCATAATTACTATTCAGTGTATACTGCAATATGATTTGGGCATTATTTACATCCGTTTCATTCAAAATCAAATCTCGTAGCAAACAAAGTTCCTGGATTAGGTTTTCATGTACATCTTTGAAGTTTTATAACATTTTTCTCCTTCATGTTTTTCTAAAGTCTTTATATCAGTGATTAATTTGAAATCAGAAATAATATTTGGTATACTTTTAAATCTATCTTCTATTTTTACAATAACAGTATTACCGTATTTGACGGCATATAAGATGCACCCTTATTTAGACGGCCACACACAAGGAAAAAACGTTTCAATAGCATGGTTTCTTTTAGTTCTCACGTTTCGTAAAAGCCAAATGAACAATTATTGAATGCAATTACCTTCACGTATAAGACACAGGTAACTTTTTTGAGACCAAATTTAGGAAAAAAAGTGTGTCTTATATGCCGTCAAATACGGTACAGTTTAAAAAAATAGCATATAAATTCCTGAGTTTTCTCTAAAATATGTTAATTATTTCTCTTAAATTTTGGAGTTCAGTTTTCATTTTATTGACTAAATTTAAAGCCGAGTCAAGAATAATTGTTTTTGCTTGAAATAGTTGATAGTGCTAATTATAGACAGTGTTGCAAAACATACTATTAAACATGAAATAAATGGCATTTCTTGTATTAAATCCGATAGACTTTTAGCTTCAGGTACTGCTGTATTATCGTTATTTACATCAATAAATGCTTTTGGGGCATTACAAATATGTTCAAATTGTGTATGCACTGCTTTAACAGAATCAATTTTGGCTTCCCAACAAGTGTTGTATAATGGTTTAAGAGTAATGTTTAAATGCTTTTGTAGAATTTCTCATATTTTTTTAAATGCAGAAAATAAGCAATATAAATTTTGCAATATTCCCCCTAAAAAATTTTACAATATATACTGCGAGAAGCAGTATCAGAAATTAATAAATTAAAAAAGTGTGATAGGCAAGGCACATCAATTGCATGGGAATTATTTGAAACTCTTTGTAGAATAGTGAATTAAGTCCAGTTGGTACACCAACTTCAATGTCCTTTTGCCCAGTGGGACCAAAAGTTAACTTCCAGTTTTGTGCACCAAAAATTTTACATTATTCTAGATTGTACACCTTTATATTTACTTTCTACAATTAATAAAATCTAAATCAAGCTCACTTAATCTTTTCAAAAGAATTTTTGGTAATACTTTTCAGTCACATCAGCTACTTCAATAAACCCTATAAATGAATCATTTATAGTCAATCTTTTCTCTTCAAAATGTATATACCTAATAATGATTGAAAGTTTTTCCTTATGGGAAGTATCAGGAGTACAATCCATTTGGATACTACAGTATGTGGCCAGGGCCAGATCGAATAGATGCGGGGTCTGATTGGATATTTTTTTTTCGGAGCCCTCTCTATATATTAAATATTGAAATAAAATTCAAATTCAGTATATATATAAATACGAGGGTTGGAACTTTAATAATGGCAACACAGCTGAAAAAACGCTACACAACTAAACCAAAGAATATCGCGTATACCACACGTCAACTATATACCTACCTTATCTCTCAGCAAAAAGACTCGTCCTGCCTACGTCACACGCATGCAGAGTGACACGAAGAATGAATCCTTGTATTAGCTTGCGGTCTAAAGTAAGTGTTGTCAGGATGTTTCCAAAACAAGAGCAACGATGTTGGATAAAAATTGAATGTGCCAGAGGTCGTACAGCACGACAGTGTCATCAAGGGCTTCAAGAGGCTTGCGGGGCATCTGCATTGCCTTACAGAACCGTATCAAGATGGGTGAAAGCATTCAATGAAGGACGCCAAAACGTTGCAGACATGCTGCGGCCAGGTCGTCCGAGTGTCAGCGATGCAGACGTGCAAGCTGTTGCCGCACTAATGGACAGTGATCGTCGCCAAACGATTCATCAGCTGGCCGGACAAACAGGATTAGCGCATACGACTGTGCTGCACATTCTGAAGGAATGCCTGTCCATGAGAAAAATTTCTTCACGATGGGTTCCACATCAATTGACGGAAATGCAGAAATGGCTACGATACGATGCTGCCTGAACCCACCTGGAGTGCTATGAGCACGAAGGAGATGCTTTTTTATGCCGTATCATTACGCTGGATGAGACTTGGGCCCCGATCGTACCAGCCAGAACTGAAACGTCAATCAAACGAATGGCGTCATCACGGGTCACCACGACGTTTGAAATTTCGTCAGAACCCCAGCAATGTGAATGTTATGGTGATTCTCATATACGACTGTGATGTTGTCATCCTAACGCATACCGTTCCCCCACAGCAGACCCTTCACTGCGCAGTCTTATTGCTCATTTTTGCAGCACAAAATCCGACCAGCTTTGAGAAAAAAACGGCGACACTTTCTGCAGAACGCTCCTCTCATTTTGCATGACAATGCTCGGTCACATGCAGCACAAGCTGTGACTGATTTGCTCAAGCGATGGGGCTGGGAAGTGCTTTACCATCCACCATACTCCCCAGATCTAAGCCCTTGTGACTATGACTTAATTCCTAAGATGAAGGAACGACTTCGTGGCACTTGCTTCCAAACTGTTCCTGAGATTCTTGCGCCAGTAGACCGGTCCATTCAAACTATCAACAAAACAGGCACTGCTACAGGTATTCTGCAACTTCCACATCGTTGGAAACGGGTTGTACACAATGCTGGCGACTATATTGAAGGACTGTAAAACATGGTGACATGAATCACTTTTGTATTCCTTGTAAATAAATAGTTGCCACTATTAAAGTTCCAACCCTCGTATATCAAATGTCGTGGATGATCAGACAGGTAACTTCTACATAAATTAAAAAATAAAAGTGTTCAAAATACAAAAACAGTTATTGAATATAAATTTACATCACCAAATATGAATACATGAATTTACATATTTCCAAGTTTTTGTTCTGTAAATTCTTCTAAAAATGTTTGAAAATCTAATTTCCTTGCGTCTTCACTTTCAATCGACATAATTGCTAAACTATTTAATCTATCCTGATTCAGTGTCGATCTCATAGTTTTTTTTATTAATTTCAGCCTGGAAAATGATCTTTCTACAGAAGCAACATTTATTGGAATTGTTAAGAATATTTGTAAAGCAATAAAAATTTGAAAAGGCCATTGCTCTATCATTATCTGATAAAAATTTGAAAATTTTAAACAGATTTTTCAAAAAATTCTGAAGGAAAAATAGATTTTAGAGCTTCACCTAACATTTTTCTGTCTATATCAGCTTATTTCACCTTTGGTACATCATTTTCTGTTAACTTAGAATCTGTTAGAGAACTTTCTAATTTAGCTGTATGTTTTTGAAGTACTTCTTTTCCCATATTTTGAAATTTTCCCAGAAACCCAAATAATTCGTTATGATTTTTTAATTGTTCAAAACGATCTTTTAGTGATTCTGTAACTTTATCTAAAACAACATTAAAAAACAATATCTTGTATGCATTTATCGGGTCTTCAATAGGTTCATCATCACCTTCATAATTGAAATGTTTCTTTCTTTTCTGAAGCCTTTTATTTCAAAATTCTGTTGATACTTCCAAATCTTCTGCAAGAGTTTTTGCCTGAACTAAAACTTGTTCGAATCCAGTATTTCTGTAGTTGCTTAACCATTTTAAAAGTTTTTCAAATGAACAAAGTGCAATGGATACGTCTACAGATTTACTTTGAAGTTCCTTGCTAACATAATTGACTTGGAACAGTCAATCGTACCAAAAAACCAGTGATACTTAATTTCCTTAATTTTGCTCTTAATTTCTTTTTTAGACTACCACTTTTATATTTTCTTCCCACCTCTCTTTCTTGTTTCAGTGGATTCGACATCTAATGATAAAATTATAGGTTAGGTATCCATTTTTAATCACATAATATAATTAAATTTTTAATTTTAGAAATAATTGTTTTTTAATAAAGATTATGTAATATAATTAGTACTTACCTTATTCAACACTTAGTAATTGTAGTCACAAAATACAACTCTAGTAATTATAATGATTAGAAGAATAGCGAACTACAAATGCAAGACACAATTGATATTTGATACTAGCTATACATCCACCACTGGCTGGTACGGTTGTGCAATTAGTTGCGCATGCATATACCTGCATAGTAGTTTAGGTACGAAAGTAGTTTACGTACGTAGTGCAAAATATCTCTAATATAGGACTATCCCGATTAAATTCAATACATTTGATATGAACTTTTACGGGTATCGGTTTTCTATATTATAAAGTATATATTATATATTAATAAGCACATTAATAAATCTCATCCAGTAATGCAAACTTAAAATTAATATATTTTTAATTATTTGAATAATTCATAATTTATCCATTATCATCAAAAGTAATTCGCTTTAAATTTCGAAATTACTTTTTGTTCATTTTGATGGTAACTCAGGGCTCTTTCAAATGCAGGATCCGATTAAGCCCAATCGCCCTTTGTCCGGCCCTGTATGTTGCTGCTTTTATAGTGTCTTTAATTTTGTTTTGTCTTTAGTTTTGTTTCATTTCTTAATGCAGAAATAATTTATTCTTGTGATATATGTGCTAAATGATGCACAGTTCTATTTTTCGATTTTTTTATTCTGGCTATATGGTCAATTAATGCAGAAAAGTGTATTTACTTAACAATTTTATTAAACTTAAAAAATTTCCATTATTAAGGGGTTCCTGTTATTTCATGTGTTCCTCAAAGTGGAATATTTTTACATGCTAAAAAGAGAATCACATCTACAATTCTTTGAAACAGTAACTTAAGTTGATCTGTTTTCTGATTTACATTAACTTGATTTGTTTTATCAATAGTCGAACACAAGTTTAGTCATTTTAGTAATTCTTTCCCATACTTGCCAACCTATGACACTCAAAAATCAGGAGATTTTTCACAATGTTAAAAAGACTTTTTAAATGATAAAAATATAGTTTTTAAATATGAATTAACTTTAAATAGTTAACTAATTCTTAAATGCAAGCAACACAAAAATAACCTTACACATAAAAAACATTTTTATTACTTGCATCGTTTAAGGGAAAAAAAAAAAGACACTTAATCAGTTTTCGTACAAATGTTATAAACAGTGGCAACAGTTTTTGCTTTCTTTAAGAAAAAACTTCATAATTTTGTTCATCAGCAATTGCCCACGTAGGCCTGTTTTCGCTAATAAAAGTTTTTCGAATGTTGTCATCACTAATATTAGATCTAAATTTAGTCCTCGTTTTTTTCGCAGCAACACTGAAGAATCCTCTCACACTCTGCATTACTATAGGGAACTGTCAAGATGGCTAACATAATTCTAGACAGTTCACTATATTACCGTTACAGTTCCATCAGCACCTTTCACTTTTCCAATTAAACTCCACTGGGTGTCAATCCTAGCTGATTTTATAACTTCATCCAAGTTTTCTAATTGTAAACAGCTGTTATGCAGCTGTTACAATTAGAAAACTTGAATGAAGACTTGGATGGATGTTTCAATTTTTCCTTCCTTTTAGAACTCCTTTCAAGATAATAATAATATCAACGATGTGTTCATCCACATTTATGGGTAAAGAAGCCGCCCCTTTTTCAGCTGCTAAATTTAAGAGGTGACAGGTGCACCTCATAATCTGAATTTTCCTTTTCTTAAGATGCCTGCAACACCAGTCCTTCCAAGCCTACCAATACTGGTGCATTATCGGCACCAAGTGCTAAGCAATTATCCAGAGGGCCTGCATTTTCTTTTAAAGTTTTAATAATTAGCTGTGCTATATTAAAGCCTGTCAAATGTCCTTCTAAAGTAGGAACATAAAGTAAACTGCACTCAATTTCTGAAGACTCTAGATCAAAAAAAAAAAAACAATTGGATACAGTTTTTGAATCGGTATTATTACTTACTTCCATCCGTAGAGAGAGGCAGAAAGGAGCTGTTTTAATGCTATCAATAACTGAAGATTTATTTTTCAAACCCATTTCTTTAACAATTGATCCTGTTTTTGATTCTTGGACCTTGAGTATTTTTTAGCGATTTCACTATCGGGAAACATTTTTCTAAATAAAGCTGCAGCGTGATCCGATGCATTCAGTGGCAGGATGTGCTCCAGTAAAAAGGCAGAGAACAGACATTCTGCATTAATAACTTTTTGGTCCTTTGTTTCCGAAGAAAAATTTAATTTTCCGTTTTTTTAAAAACAACTCATGTTATCCTTGTGTTTTTGCGTACCTACATGTTTGAGAACATCCGCCCTTCCACCATGTGAAATCGAAAAATCGCAACGACGGGTGGTACACATTGCAAATTTATTACATTTCTTTGAGGAAATAATGGAATGAAAGTCAACTGTGTACGATTTTTGAAACGTACACGAGTATTTCACTTTCTCGCAGACGTAGCAAAAGATGATAATTTCTAAAACTATTTCCCTAAGGCACGTGTACTCGCACAACTCTGCACAAAATGAAAGAAATAACTAAAGCACGTCCAAATAACAACTTACTTTGTCCTCATTGGCTAATATATGCCAGCTGACACGCAGTGGAGCTCGAAGCCCATTGGAGAACTGGAGAACGACGTTTCTGGATACGTATAATGCTGTCACTCACAAAGCAGAAGCTATCTGATTAGCAAGGTTTTGTTTTAGATATAATGTAGAATAATTCAATTGCTTTCAGACATCCAAAAGCACTTTGTTTTTTATTCATATAACAAAGTATTAAGCCAAGTGAGAAATTTTAAGAATAAGAAAAAGTCGGGAGAAATATATCGTAAATCGGGTTGGCGGGGAGAGCGGTCGAAAAGCGGGAGTCTCCCGCTTAAATCGGGAGAGTTGGCAACTCTACTTTCCAAACAATAAACAAATTAAAGGGAAAAATAGAATGCTCATGATATTGAATCTTTTGGAAAAAAGTATACAATTTAAAATTTTTTTATTTAGAGTGTTCTTTTAGTCGTTTTCATATTTTTGAATAATTTTACTTCATGCAACATTCTTCCATTAATTGCTTTCATCTGTTTCATTTCTGGAATACTTGTTTAACATTAGTCTGATTTTAACTATATATAAATTATATATCTTTGAGTGGGGCCTTTTAAGCTTCTAATGAAGTTGATTAAATCTGAAACTTTCTAATAATGGTTTCTATGTAAATTACTTAATGATTTGTTGACTAACAATCTATACATTCTATCAAAAAGCATTTTTTAATCAAATATGTGAAATTTTTTATAACATTTTATTTCTTCATGTAATTGATGCATATTATAAGGTTTTTAAATTTCTAACAGTATTATTGCATGCGGTATGCAACAGTTTAAAAAATTACAATGATCATAATAAATATCAAATATTATATTTCTTCAATTTTTTCCAGTGTATGGGCTTCTAAAAAGCTATAAATTGCCAGTTTTAAAATAAAATATTTTTTCTTGTGTTAATACACACCTTCCCAAAACTTATTTTTATATGGAGACTCATTTTTGGAAAAATTTTTATGAATAACATTTTCAGCTTGTGTGGCATGTGATACATGAATGACTGATTGTTAGCAATTATAATGCAGCTTTGTGATGATTGTTTAAAGATTATTATAAAACTGTTTTTGTGAACCGAGTCATTGTTGTTTAATATTTTTTAATTTCATATTAATATAACTGTTACAGGATTTAGTAGGGAAGATGTTGGATGTAAATCCTAAAAGGAGATGTCGATCATCTGATGTTTTGCAACACATGTTCATTCGGGCTAGACGTTTCCTGCCCGAATCGAAATTAAAATTCAAAGATATTCAAGCTGTAAAAGTAAGTATTACATCTAAAACAATTATCTAGATTCCAATGTACTAATAATAGAGTTTGAAATATATGTCGCCTGTAAATATGTATTAAAAAATAAAAAATAAATAAAGAAGGGAGAGAGATTTGTGCTATGCAAAAGCATCCGTTAAAACTGTATGCTTCATGTTAAATTTAAAAGCATTTAATGGGCAGAAGTAATCACAGGTAACAGTATACGGAATTGTTAAAGTAAAAAATGCAGTTGCAGGAAGTACACTGTATTTTAAGATCGAGCATTTTCCAATTATATAAATGTGTAGAAGGTTAACCAGAATTTTCCTTTATAATATGGGAAAGTATGTGTTAATCATTTAGGAAGTCAATATATATTATTGAGGTGATTTTCTAAATAGTTTTGGGCCAAAAAATGTGCAATTTATATTTATTTGCAGTTATGCTTGTTAAAAAAATAAGATATGTGTGCCAATCACAATATTTACTTAATGTTAATTGGCAACAATAGTGTTGTTGTCGTCTTATCCTTATCTGGTATGCATTGCTGTGGTTGCTTGTTCAAAATATTCCCAATAATTTGATTGTTCAACCTGGACTATGTCATTTCTTTACCCACAAATAATTTAAATTCTAACACGTTATCAGCCCGACGCTCTCAAAATAAATGCCATAAGGATCCAGGATTGAAGATCGCTAAACGAAATAAATAATTTTTTTATGGTGAATTTAGCTCTATATGTACTTGAAGAATGACATCTGAAGATTATAAAATGCCGAAACTAAATGGCGACAATTATCACACATGGTGTATCCGTTCGCGTGGCACGCTGGTGTGGAAGAGATGTTGGGAAGCAGTGGAACCCGGATATAGAATTGAAATGAATGAAGCAGACAGGAAAAAGAATGATGAAGCTCTTACCCTATTATTCCTCTATTCTAGTTGAAGATACATTTCTAGATGATATCGAAGATTGTGTTAGAGCCAGAGACGCCTGGAACTGTTTAAAAGAAATGCACACAAAATTTGGTTTGCTTCACTTACTGTTGCATCAGGTTCTTCTATTTACAATAAAATTAATGTAAAATTCCTTACCTGCTGCATCTTCAGTGTTCTCGACACCAGGCTTCTAATAATCACGTTTTCCAGTAAGAGTTTCTATTACAATTAGCAGGCCATCTTGTCTTTTAATTATTTATTCAAAGAAAATGCTAATATACACTATTTACAAGGTAAGTGATAATTATTTTAAGACAGTACATTTTTAACTCTGAGTCTTTACGCTCCTCAAAGCGGTTCCAATCTCGACTCGACTGCTTCTCGGAACTTAATTACAGCAAAAAGTAAAGGAAGAGATGCCCGCCACACTAGTGGCAAGAATGTGACATCCTCCCACCTTTTGATTTTACCTCGATAAAATGGGAAAATCAAAACAAAATTTATCAATAATCAAACAAAAATTCAAATACAACTTTCACAAATATGAAAAGTAACTAATGCTCTAAAATTAATACTTACAAAGAAGGATTACAACATCCTAAACATTTTCTGCATTACATTCACTACCACATCCAGATAACATGTTCCAAATTGACTACTGTTAGGACAATTAAATTTCTAAATATACTGAAAAGAAACTAAAATTAGTATAGCAATTTAAAAATATGTAAATAGGTTTTACAGTTTTATACGTCCATATTTAGTTTGATAGTTCATATCACTGTCACACTTATCGGCAAGAATTTTTTCTGTTCATGGTGAAAGTCACTAAACAAGTTAGGTCTATCAAGTTCGAGAGGATAAATACGTTTCACAGGAGTTCACCTGTTGCAGTTTTCACTTTGACAACACATACTTCGTTGTCTTTTCCAGGATATGTTTCTACAACGCGACCTATTGGCCAATCTATTCTCTTCTTGTTGTCGCTGCCGACAAACACCAAGTCATTTTTGTTGATAGTTCCCAGTAGATCGTTTAAGTGGTTTTTGCTCTAGGATAGCTAAATATTCATCACGAAATCTTTTGCGAAAGTTTTCTCTTAACGTTCTGCAAGAACTTGTATCTTTTTGTCAGATTGATGGTATCTAGGTGGTCTAAGTCTGGTACTCCGATGTCGTGCACATCTTGCAGAAACATTGAAGGAGTTAGTGCCGTAAGATCATTTGGATCTTCTGAAAGGTACGTGATGGGTCTTGAGTTAATCACTGATTCGATATCACAAAGTATAGTCAACATTTCTTTGTAAGAGGACACAGGACTTCCGAGAACATTTCTCAACATCTTCTTCACTGTTTGTACCAACCTCTTCCCACCAACCACCCCACCATGAAGCCCCCAGTTGGGGGATTAAACTTCCACTGTATTCTCATACTAGTTGAATGACATTCTATTTCTTTTCCAATCTATCGATCTTAACAGATTTTCAGTTCCAACGAAATTAGTACCATTGTCGCTGTAAATAATTATTTGGAACGACCTTCTTCTGGCAATAAATCTCCTTAATCCCAAGATGAACGCATTTGTTGATAAACTTTCTATCAGCTCAAGATGTATCGCGCGATAGACCGTGCGCAAGTAAAGAGCAAGATCCATGCCTTTTTTCCTTTTCTTAAATAAAGAAAACCGGCTACATACATCGACTCCGGTCACTTCAAACACCAGAGCATCTCTAACTCGATCTTCAGGAAGAGGTGCTGGAACAGTCTCTATATTCTTTGCGCTATATCTTACTACAGCGAACACACTTCATAAGAAACTTTACGTACTGTTTTTTCTTCCTCTCAGGACCCAGAATTTCTGTCGAATATTGGCTAGTACGAATTGCACACCAGCGTGGGATAGACAATCGCAAATGGTAATCTCTAAATCTAACCTATGAACTAAGTTCATAATTTGAGGGCAATACAATTGGACAGAGAAAATTTTCTTCTTCCACTCTTCTAGTAATCTTGGTCTTTAACCGAATAAGGCCATCTGAGTCAAAAAAGGTACAAAGATTTGCTAACTTTAAGTTCTTATGCCAAATGCTTCTATTCTGTATTATCTTGCATATTTTCTTTTCTACTACGGTTTCTATTTCAGGAAGACCGTGAGTTCTCCTGATTGTTTAGAATCTGGTCTTCTGCAGTTGTTGATAAATCTGCATATCCAAGCAGTTATTCTTAACATTTTATGGTAAGATGAAATTTCTCAAAAAATGTTCTACCCTTTGCATATTTAGTGCAGAAATGACTGATTTCCTTTTTTCTGAATTTACTATTTCCATATCCGGTATTTCCCTTTGTCTAGGCCATTCTTCCTGATTTTTCTTCAGCCAGTCGGGGCCCTCCCACCATCTAACTACTAAAAGTTGTTTTAGCGGTGCAACCTCTTGATGGGAGGTCAGCTGGATTTTTTGTTCCAGCAATATGTTTTCCACGTTTTTGGATCCGTCAGTTTCCTAATCTCCCCGGACTCTGTTTTCCACAAAGACAACCCAGACAATCTCTTCCCTTTGAATCCATGTCAAAACTGTTGTAGAATCCGTCCAAAAAATGCGTTTCCATATTTGCCATTGCAAACCATTTAAACAGAAGAGCATAGTGTGGCACCTATCGTGGCAGCTATCAATTCCAGACGAGGGATCGTAATAGATTTTACGGGAGCTACTCTAGACTTCGATGCCAACAGATGAACTTCAACTCCAGAATTCGTCACAGTTCTCAAGAAAACTGCAGCAGCATACGCATTACTACTGGCATCACAGAATGTGTGAATGCTGCAGAACTTCCTATTGTCCTTGCTGGAATGTATCCAACGTAGGAGGGATATTTCTTTTAAGAGAAAAAGGCTTTTATACCAATTCACAAATTTTGTTTTGTACTCTCGTCAACTTCAGTATCCCAAGAAATTCCTGTTTTCCATAGGTTCTGCAACAATATTTTAGGATACAAGAGAACAGGATTCACAATACCAATAGGATCAAATATTTTGTGTGTTACAGCGAGAATTGTTCTCTTCGTTATTATATGCCCATTTCAAAATATTCTAGCCAATTCAGATTCAAAGTTAAATTATCTTTCTGAGAGTTCCATAACACACCCAATACGGGTGAAATAGTTTTCATGTTTCAAGTATCTCTCCGTTATGTAACCAACCTCGAAGATTAAACTTTTTCTTCATATACATTATTTCTCGAGATTTTTCTATAAACTGGATCATCTCGGATTCTTTGTCAAAACTGGCAACAACGTTATCTACGTAGAAGCTACGCAAGAGTTTAGCTATTATCTCCGTATCATATGAAGAATTTTTCATGTACTTTTGTAGATGGAATTCTATAACAGCTGCCAAAAGGAAAGGACTACTCTTAACCCCAAATACTACCCTAGTATGACGAAATATTTTCGTTTTCCTTTCTTCCACATCATTCCACCAGAAAAACCGAAGCCAGTCTCTATCTTGAGGCCTTACACTGATCTGTAAGAAAGCCTTTTCAATGTCTGCTATAGCAGCAAACTTGCCTTCCCGAAATCTCAACAAAAGAGATGGAATTAGTTCTATCAAATTTGGTCCACACTCCAAACACTGATTTAAGAGAAGGAGACGATTGTTTCCTCGCAGACGTATCAAACACCGGTCGAATTGGTGTTGAGCTATTTTCTTTGATCACCGGTCTATGCGGTAAATAATGTCCATAGTCAACCGCAATATTTTTTCTTTAACTTCTTCGATCACTCCTAAGTTACACCAGTCATTAAAAACTGCATTGTATGAAGAAAATAAATTTTGAGATAAAAGTTTCTGGGTGGTAGATTGTAGACGTTTCAACGCTAAATCCTTGTGGGTGGAGAGTGGTACATGATTCTCCGCCCACGGAAGTGCGACTTCATAACGCCCTTCTTCGTTTAGAGATACAGAATTTTGAATTTTCGAATTGCAATTTTGCTTGCAAATCCCTTTCCTCTCTAGCCTTTTTGTAACTGGATCTGTATTATTCCGATAACATCAAGCCTCCACAGTTCTGACAGCG